ACTTCCAAATGGAGATGGGAAGGTGGAGTAAGCAATTTTGACACTTAAAAAACCATATGAAAGTTGACAGAAAGATACTGGCCTCTAATTTAATTTTGAAGTGTTGATAGGATCATTTTTCATTTAACAAATGTTTATCGACTACCTCTATTTGATACTAAATGACTGGGGGCTCCAATAATGAGCAAATATAGTCATAGACCAGTCCTTACAGAACTTAATGTATAGCAGGGAAGACAGACATTAAGTAATTACAAAAACACATTTGAAATTACCACTGTAGTAAGTGCTATGAAGAGCATCTGGGACTGTGGGATCAGACAGTGGGGGCCTTATCATTCTGGTGATCAGGGAAGAAGTAACAGTTTAGGTATAATTCACATACAGTAAAATTTATCCATTTTAAGTGTATAGACGTATGTGTTTTGGCAAATCCATTTAACCACCACAATCAAGACACATCATCCCAAATCAGTACTGCTACCCCAAAAAAGTTTTCTAAATGTCCCCTTTCTGCCCATTTTTAAATTGGGTTCTCTCTTTTTTTTTTAATTAGTGATATGTAGGAGTTCTGTGTTCTGGAACAAGTCTTTTGTTGCCTATGTATATTGAGAATATCTTCTTCCAGTTTGAATATTGCCTTTTTATTCTCTTAATGGTGGTGAGCACAATTTCTAATTCAAATGAAATCCAATTTATCAATCTTTTTTTTAAATGAGTAATTCTTTCTGTGTCCTTTTGAAGAAGTAGTTTCCTATAACAAGATCATGAAGATATGCATATATTTTCTTCTAAAAGTTTGTTTATTCATTATGCATTGCAAATTAAATATTTGCGTGATCTGAACTAGGAGTCAGGGTTCATTTTTGTTCATATGATATTCAATCGATCCAGCATTTATTGGAAAGATCATTTTTTAAGCATTGAATGTAAGTTGTTTTGACTATACTCAACTCTTTGTTGTTTCTCAACTCTCTATTCTGTTCTGTTGGTCTATTTGTCTTTGCTTGCACTGACCACATCTTAATTATTGTAGCTTATAATAAATCTTATTTGGTAGTGTTCTTCAAGATTGTACTAGCTATTCTATGTCCTTTGCATTTCCATTTGAATTTTAGAATCAGCTTATGAATTTCTGCAAAAAGCCTGCTGAGATTTTGATTGGGATTGCATGGAATCTCTGGGTCAACATCAGGGAAACTGATTATCTTCACAATATTAAATCTTCCAGTCAATGAAAGTGACACAGTTCTTCATTTAGTAAACTCTTTAATTTCTCTCAACAGTGTTCCACTGTAGAGGTATTGCAGATCTCTTTTTAGGTTTATTCCTGGCAATTTGATTTTTTTAGATGCCATTGTGCAATCAGTTTTGAAATTTCACTTTCTAATTGTTTCTTGGAAATATATAGAAATGTTGATTTTTTTTATATGTTGACCTTGTATCCAGTTACCTTGCTATATTTATTTATTCTAATAGTTTTTATAGGTTCTCTTAGGTTTTCTATGTACTCAATCATGTCATCAGCAAATAATGACAATTATAAGTCTTCTTTTCCAATGTTTATTTCTTTTTACTTTTTCTATTTTATTTTTATTCTTTATACCATTAATTTGTTTGCTGGTTTATTTATTTTTCTGGATAGAAGTGATATTGATGGATATTCTTGTCCTATTCCTGAATTCAAGCGGAAAGAGTCCAATATTTTCATTAGTAAGTTGATGTTGGCTGTAAAATTTTTATACATTATGGTTTTTTTTCTTTTTTTGAGACAGGGTCTCACTCTGTAGCTCTGACTAGAGTGCAGTGTCATATGCAACCTCAAACTCTTGGGCTCAAGTGATCCTCCTGCCTCAGCCTCCTTAGTAGCTGGGACTGCAGGCGCACACCACTGTGCCCGGCTAATTTTTCTATTTTTTGTAGAGACGGGGTCTCACTCTTGCTCAGGCTGGTCTTGAACTCCTGACCTCAAGCAATCTTCTTACCTTGGCCTCCCAAAGTATTAGGATTACAGGTGTGAGCCACCATGCCCAGCCTATATTTGAGGTTTATTAGATTAAGAATGCTCCTTCTATTCTTAATTTCTGAAAGTTTTTATTATGGGTGGGTATTGAATTTTATCATATTCTTTTTCTTTATCTATTGAGATGATTATATGCATTTTACTTTGATAATTTGGTGAATTACATTGATTAATTTTCAAAAGTGAAATCAACTGGCATTCCTGGAGTAAACCTTGTAGTCGTAATATGTTATCTTTTCAATAAGTGTGGATTTGATTTGCTAAAATTTTGTTTAGTGTTTTGTGTCTGTATTCATGAGAGAGATATTGGCCTGTAATTTTCCTTCTTATAATGTCCTTATCAGATTTTGGTGGCCTCATAAAGAATTGGGAATTGATCACCCTGGTTTTTTGTTCCTTGAAAGATTGTATATGATTGGTGTTAGATATTATTTATCCTTTAATGGTTTAGAAGAATTCCCTAGTGAAGTCACCTGAGTCAGGAGATTTCTTCAGGGAAGATTTCATGAAACCATGGATTCAAATTCTCTAAGAGGGAATCATTCAGATTTTCTTATTCTTTGTGTCAGTTTCTGTAAGCTCTATTTTTCAAAGAATTTGTCTATTTCATTAAATTATCAAATGCATTGTCATAAAGTTGTTCTTAATGTCCTCTTACTATGTTCTTAATGTCTATAGGGTATGTAACTGATGCTCCCCCCTTTTAATTTCTCCAAAATTTGAGTATTCTCTTTTCTTGATTATTCCTACCAGGGGTTATCAGCTATTAATATTCTCAAAGAATTAGCTTTTGGCTTTCTTAATTTTCTTTATTCTTTTTATTTATTTTTTTTTCTTTTGAGACAGTGTCTCACTCTGTTGCCTGGGTTAGAGTGCGGTGGCGTGATCATAGTTCACTACAACCTCAAACTCCTGGGCTCAAATGATCCTCCTACCTCAGCCTCCCAAGTGGCTAGGACTACAGGTGCATGCCACCATGCCCAACTAATTTTTTAATTTTTTGTGGAGATGGGGGTCTCCCTATGTTGTCCAGGCTGGTCTGGAACTCCTGGTCTCAAGTGATCCTCTTGTCTCGGCCTCCCAAAGATCTAGAATTACAGGTGTGAGCCACCACACCTGGCCTAAATTTGTACTTTTAACACTTGCTGAAAAATGCAAGCACCTTTTGACAATTTAACTTCAGTTAGCTTGCTGTCTTTTGTGTTAGTCTAGTTCTATATTTTATACTTCTACATATGTTTAAGACAAACAAATCATTGTTACTGTATTTTAAATGCCAATATTAATTTATATTTATCTACATATATTTACTTTTCCATTCCTCTCCATTAAGTGCTCCAATTCTGTGCTTCCTTGTGAGGTCATTTTCTTTTAGTTTGATATATTCTTCTAACAAGTTCTCTTGCCTTTTTGTTCATCTGAAACTATTTTTATTTTATCTTCACTTGAAGAATACTTTCTCTTAGCACTGAATTTTAGCTTGATTGGTTTATTTTCATATTTTCTTTTTTCGTCTTAGCTTTTTAGAGATGTCATTTTATTATCCTCTATTTCCGTTATTTCTCCAAACTTGGGTGACCTTGACCCTCTTCTGTATGAAAACAAAAATCCTTTCTCCTATATTCTTGTCCAAATTTTCTGTTAAAAATTCATTTTTCACTCTCAATAGTGAGGTCATTTTTTAATAATTTAACTAATAAAACATCATTAGTTGCTGTTGCCATCATGATAAATAAAAAGGTTAATTAAAAGTAAGATGTGACACTGAGTTGTTTTTTTTTGTGAAAACTTAACAAGGTTATTAAGTGTTTAAAGAATACAAGTTAGATAAAAAATTTAAGATGAGAATTGAAGAAAAATAAAGAGCAGCTATTATCTGGATTTAGTAGTAAAGAAATTAAAATTCTGATTTTTGAATGGGTGCTGTTAGAGTAGCACTTAGTTGTTTCTTTAAATATTTGTGATTATTAACTGATTGGTGGTTTGAGTGTTTACATGTAATGGCTAAAGAACAATGTATATCTGTATTAAGTGTGCCAGAGAGAATTGTGTTCAGAAAGTCTGGAAAGGTACACAGTAATTAAATGACCATCTAAAAATGTGGGAGGAAGAGAACCACTGACATAGGAATTGATATTAGATTTCGAACATCGAAGTAGAGAAAGAAGACAGGTAGATTTGTAAAGAATAGTCTCCCTCCTGCAGGATTAAAAATGGGGATTTGGAAAGAAACTAACCATTCGCTTTTGCTATCGAAATAACCCTACGAAGGGAGCCAGGTGTTGCAGTCCATCTTATATTTATGTTTTTCCTTTCACCCTTTTGTGAACTCTCAAGGTTAGTCAGTGCTTTTCTTCAAAATTTCATTAGGAAATTTGCCAAAGGCATCCTTTTGAGGCAGCTGTCTCTGTACCCTTGGAGGCCATCAGTAATGTTTCCAATCTATAGCAGTAAGCAGCACAAAAATGTTGAACTGAACTGTTGTCTATGTTTTAAAACATTCCTCTGCTGCCACTATTTCCCCCCCACCCCAACAGTATAAAATATATCACATTTTGGGACTTACGGCTCTTCTAATTGTTATGGTGACTTTTCAGATAAAATCCATGATTAATAATAAATATATCCAAATAACAATAATGAAAGGAGACTTAATTTTTTAACATAATTTAAATCATAACAATAGACACATTAGAAATTTTCTATATAAATAAGTGAGAATTCCTTTTGTATAGAATGTTAAAATTTTTATTTTCAGTATTGAGATTTTATAAAGTAAAATATACTTTAAAGTTTGGGGTATTAAATCTGATGTTATTATATTAAGTGCATGATTAAAATGCATTAGAAGAAATTGAAATGCATTTGTGTTTTTATTCCTATGCAGTTTAATAATATAGGCAACTGTTATACCATATGCATCTTTAATATATTAGTCTAACTGTTTCTCTTGTTTTACTAAACTGTGTTCTTTCAGCCACCCACACAGAATATGCCTATGGGTCCTGGAGGGATGAATCAGAGTGGCCCTCCCCCACCTCCACGCTCTCACAACATGCCTTCAGATGGAATGGTAGGTGGGGGTCCTCCTGCACCACACATGCAGAACCAGATGAACGGCCAGATGCCTGGTAAGTTTTTCTCCTCTAAGACATTAACACCAGAGTTGCTTAGCAACTGAAACGACATGGGGGCTCAAGGGATACTAGATTGTTGATGACAAAACTGCTTTGAATGCCCCCGAGTACAAGCTCTCTTAGAGTTTGTTAGCTACAGAGCTACGTGACCTGTATTCAGTGTTTATCAGGCTGCCCTTGGGCTTTGATGTAGCTGACACACAGCATTCCTCTGATGAACAGAACTGGCTAAATTTAGTCTGTCTGAAACTATGCAATACAGTTGGTTAGAAGCTTTTTGGAAAAAAAGGCATTATGCCATG